CTGTGGCTCAAGGGGTAGAGCACTAGCCTTGAACAAAAGCAGGTCAGGACACCGGCCCGGCCCTGAGGTCCGCACCCAACCCCCCCCCCCAAAAAAAAAAAACACCAAAGTACTCCACTCACCTCACTCCACTCAATCTCTGTCTCCCCCTTTCTTAAAACAATGTCACCTCTCATTGTTTTATTTTCATACATTCACATAAAATAGTTGGATTATATTTACCTTCCTTCACTCTCTCCATTCACCTTCCTGCTGACACTTGAACTCTTCTCCTGTTACTCTTTTTTTAAGTGTATATTAATTATACCAAAGGATTGCACACCAGTAAGCCTTTAAAATGTGGGTGCATAATGAAATTTATGGACAGCAGTATTCTTTGTGCTTTTATGTGAAGGTCCATATGATTGATTTCATGTCCTTACTTTCTAGGTAGCCTATTAAAATGCTTTCCAGAAAAAGAAGTCAGATGAAATAACGGCAGTAAATCAATTCCTAAGTTAGCATTTGCCTTTGGGGGCCAATTGTGTCTTGTACACTATCACTAACACCAGTGCATAATGAAATACTGCAGTATCTAGTTTGGTGTTAGGCGAGGTGAGGCATTCTTCCATTCATAACTGAAACTGTATACCTTGGAGTGAGTGCCAAAATGTGATTGGCATTAGCCATTCCTACTGTTCAAAAAATGCATTCATATGTGTCTTATGTAGTTAATAGCATACAATCTAAAAACTTCTCTTGGTTACTTTCCTCGTTTTTCATATAGGTGATTGTTGAAGAAAAGAATTCTATTTAGATTGTTGGAATGTAAATGAGCTTTGGTAGTCTCAAGGTTTCCTGCATTTCAGAACGTAGAAATTATGGTCTCTGTCTCTAAGAGGCCTTTAGATTCCTTTAGATTCTTAGACTGATAGAATCGATGGTGATAACAAAGAATGGGAGAGCGTGAAACTATATTCTCTATTGTTTCTGTGTGGCTATGCTTCAGGGCCTTTGGCCAAGTAGAGAAGGTACAGATAGCAACAAAACCAGCGGATTTGCAAGTGCTGGATGTCATCAGGGATGCTACAGCTATAGTTCAAAGCGAAAAATCACATCTTGTGCTAGACAGCTTCCTGTTATTATAACAATGTATCTGAGATCATTAACTTACAAAAGGAAAAGGTTTGTTTAACCTGCATTAGTTGTGGTTCTAGTTCATGATTGAGTGTCCCTGTGACTTTGGGCTTCTCTGATGAGGCAGCACATTTTGGCAGAAGCCAGTGCAAAAGCAGAGGAAAAGGAGAGCAGGCAAGGGGCATGGTTCCAGTGACCAAAGTCTACAAAGACCAAACCTCATTCAAGCCCACAGCACTTCCCAAAAGCATCACCTTGGGGACACCAAGCCTTTAACACGTGGACATTTAGAGAACATTCACCTCAAAACTCTGCAGGTTCAATCACAGATGAATATATACTTAACACCGTGGCGTGGCTATTAGGCAAAAGATGAACATCAGTAGTTGGAGAAAATAAGTAGTGATGATAGGATTTAGAATGATGTTTGGAAAATGATTCTATCTAAGATTTCAAGATTGAGAAGGAGCTAACAAGCGGCCAAATAGGAGAAAATGTTCCACACGGAAGAGAGAGTTTATGTACAAGTCCTGGGGCAGGAAAGAGCCCCAATAAATTACCTTATTTACCAAACATGATGGATGGTTTTCAATTCTTGTTTTTCAGGGTATAATTGACTACATCTTTTATTCTAAACCTCAGCTAAACACTTTAGCCATCTTGGGACCTCTGGACCACCATTGGCTAGTTGAGAATAACATCACCGGCTGCCCACATCCACTCATCCCCTCCGACCACTTCTCACTTTTTGCACAATTGGAGCTCTTACTGCCTTTCCTGCCCCAAGTTAATGGCATTCATCTTCCTGGCAGGAGGTAGTCAAGTACCTTCAGAAGACAACCTCAGTTTTACTTGCAAGCTCGTGAAAACCTGAATATAAGGGAGTGAGGTATGGCCACTGGGGATTTTTTGTAATGATGATTTGAATTTTCAGTCTGATTATTTGGTATAAGGGTATCATAAGAAGCCAGGTGCTAGCAACAGACAAATTCTGAGCCCAATATGCTTTATATACTGCTAGACAGGGATTGGTGTGTTTGCACCTATTTTTAATTTGTTACAAGTAATTTTCCTGTTTCTTCTAATATAATATTTTCATGCCTTGAAATAGGAAAATGTTTGAACAGCATATTCTCTTTGCACAGAAATCTGTAGCACTACTTTTTTTGAGGCCAGTAGTAACACCCAGAGACCATTCTCCCAGACTTTACTCCCTCCTTTTTCAGACTTGTTTGTAAAATATAGAATTTGAATTTAGCCTTTATGATTGTATATGATCCGCAGAGACCTGATTTATGAAATTTTGTACTAAAAAAATCAGATTTGAAAACAATTGTATTGTAAATTAAGGCTAATTTTTTTTAAACCTGTTTCCTGTGTTCTGAAGGCCAGCTTGTAAAAGAATTGCAACAGACTTTCTCTGCAATGATTTGCACTGTTAGGGTTATGTTAGCCCTTTTGTACTACTTTATTTTTAAATGGAGAACATTGCTCTTTAAATCTAAGTCTACTTAGACCTTAGGACATTTTCTTGGGCCAGAGGCAACTTAAAACTCATGAATTCATGAATTTTTATGAAAACTATCTACTAGGACAGATAAGCTGAACAATGAATGATCTGTAGGCATTTAAGGACTGAACGTGATAGTTAATATATGTACATTCTGATATTTTTAAGTCTAACTTTTTTAAGTTATAAAATTACAGCTGCTTGGTCCAGCTTAACTCCTTGTTGAGACACTTCCTGTCCTATCTCCACTGTGCCTGCCTAACTTTGTTCTCACCGAGCACTGCCTGTGCATGCAGAGAAAATCTGTGCATCTTCTTTTATATTTTTTAAAAACATTTGTGAGAATTTTATGAAAATGCTTTTGTATGAGCTATGGCTTTTTTCCCATTGTGAAGCATTGCATATCACATTTTGGAGCGTGTACATAGGGTGGGCCATGAGACCCACACACTGCTTCTAGGTGTCTCTGCACAGTGCTGTTTGTCACCAGAGTACTACTATCATGTGAGTTCTACTCGGTTGTCTGTATATTCCTTGTTCTCACGTTTTTTAAATCATTCCTTTTTTTTTAAAGTAATTTTCCATTTATGAAGCAGTATAAATAATTGCATTTTCAAAACAGGTCCTTAAAGCAATTCTTCAGATCATTTTTAACGTGACTAAGTCATTTTAGTATGTCAACCAAGATAAAAGTTATGTCGTACCCTGTATTTTGCCCATAGTGCCATTAATAGATTAGAGATGTAAAGTCAGCTTTAACTTTGCAAACTTAATGTGTGTATCTTCTGTTTTCATTCATTGATTCTCCCAAATCACATGAATTCAAAGGGAGTTTGGACTAACTGCTTTTGTTTCAACTGCAGGCAGGGGAGCAAAAGGACACCATATAAGCATTAAGAAGAAAAATTGTTGAATGTTATTAACAGTTTTTATACAGAGGAGGAGTCATTTTGGATAATGACTTAAAATTTTATGGAAAATGTTCAGCACTTAATGTGCTTATTCTGTTTTTAGAGAAAATAAAATGACATACTGTTTAAATAAATGATTTTTTTTCTTTTCAAGAAATTCTCAAAAGGTTTTGATCTTCAGTCTGTCTGAGACTTGATTTTTCCCTTTAATTTTTTTTTTTTTTAGACTTTGCTGTAATGGTGGGTTTTTGTTGTTTGTTTCGTTTTTGTTTTTCCTTAAAATTGTTTTTGTGCTTTGTATTTAAGTTGTGCTGACACCAAACACATCCAGTTTATAATCAGTACATTGGAAAGCTGGTATTGCTGATGTAGAACCAGTGCATAAATTCTTATGGTCTTTTGTCTTATTTTTTTGGTAACGTGTGAATTAAAGGTATGTTTACTCGTTTTTCCTAAACACTGTGTTGGTAATGTGCGTGCATCATGACGATTTCCAGCCAGGGGAGCTGGGGGCTGGTTGGACTGATGAGACTGAGGAAGCCGCTTTTCCTATGGCCTGCATTGTGGAAGCGCAGGTCCAGAGAGCTTTGGGGAAAGGGAGGGGGGGAGAAGCACTTACTCGTTTGTATTTGTTGGTGGAAGACATACTCTTGCATAGATGCTGGAACTAGAGTGCACTTGTTAGATGCTAAAGGTTTGAGCTTTACACAAGACGTTTTCATCTGTATTTGTTACTGTCTATAATATATTTGAATTTGGAGGCAGCATATTAAGATATAATAGCCTGTTATGTCTTGAAAATACTTGTTCTTGATTCTTCCAGACATTCTGTGGGTCAGTTTGAACAGATTCTTCACCTTATTTAGGTAAATTGAACCGAGAATGTTGATTTAGAAATAAAATACTTGGATGTATAAAGAATGGTCAGTCACACCAAAATTGAATGCTACTTTTGAAAGCAAGGTTTTATATTTTAAATATCTTCTGTGTCCTGAATAATATCCAATAATCTTATACTTCCTAAAATGCAATAAAAAACTAGTCTGTTCTCCATGTAGATTATTTTTTGGAAATTCTGTGAACAATGTATGATGTAATGTTTTTCTCTGATGTATTCTTACTGGATAAATCCATCTTAGGAATGATTCCCAGGAAATTTGGAATATGCTTTCTGTTTTGGATATAAGAATTTGGAGTTGGGGCTGGTTAGGTGGCTCAGTGGTAGAGTGCTTGCCTTGCATGCATGAGGCCCTTGGTTTGATTCCTCAGCACCACATAAGCAGGAAAAAAAAGCCGGAAGTGGCACTGTGGTTCAAGTGGTAAGAGTTGCTAGCCTTGAGCTAAAGAGCTGAGGGTCAGCGCCCAGGCCGAGAGTTCAGGCCCCACAACCGGACCCAAAAATAAAAAACAAAAAGAATTTGGAGTCATTCAGTTTCTTTGTAAATCTTTTGAAGAACACTTTGCCATATTTGTGGTGATTATTTATGCTTTGAGAATTTAAATAATGCTCATCAAAATCAAAATATATGGCATGATTTAACTGAACTTGTAAAATTAAATTGTTTATTGCAATTTTAATAGTCCCAGAAGATAGGCAAAGAACATCTCCAAGAAATGTGCTTTTTATTTTTGATTTGGTAACAACCAGGAAAACTTAGTTTGTGTTAGCACTTTGAAACCTAACGACATCATTATTACCTTGGGTAGAATGCATTTCTGTTTCAAACCTCTTCTGATTTACTTTTTCAATATAACACTCAAGCTTTAAGAGTTCCACTTTCTTACTGTTTAAGTATAGAGAATTAGTTTCCATTGTGACTTTCAAGGTTTGGTAGTCATGTTGTATAAGGAAGGACAAAAGTGAACCTAGGCAGACAGTTGGCAGTGGTGTGGTGGTGTAACTGGTCAATCGTACTATCCAGTACAGATGTTGCAGGCAATTCAGAGAATGCTATATCGTAAGGAAAGTTGTCCCTCCATTCCCCCCCACACACCATAAACAGTGTTTTAGGATGTTCACTTTGCTCTTCTTTCTGGTTACATAAAATTTAAAAACCAGTATGCTGATGTGATGTGTAAAATAGATATCTAGTCTTTATTCACAGTATATTGTATCGTGCAGTGCACTGGACTGATTCTTTACCTTTCCTAACGAAACCCAGCACACTATCTGCACCAAGCTCAAAGAATGTCAATTTGCCTAGGCAGCTCGTGGATAAGGGTAATGGAAACCCAAGTTTCTACCATGTGGACTGGTGGTAACAAGCGCTTTTACTGTTCTTTTCAGTGGAACCTTCTGGTCAAATTGTAATTAGCTAGTATTATATTTATATGCAGGGTCTCTTTTCCTTACCGATGTATTTTCCTACTCATAGCCAACCAATAAATTCAATATCTGTTTCAAATATTTTAACAGTGTAATTTGTACAGCTGTAATCCTGAGACTTGAGAAAACTCAGCGTTAATTGACAGCGCCCATCTGCATCATCTGGACCAGGGTTGTAATTCCCCTTTGCAAAGGGAAGGGTGGATGGGGACAGGGCCCTGGGGTGGTAGAATGATAAGAACACGTTTCCCTTTCATGGCCACGTTATTCAGTATAACACTCATATCTTTGCCAAAGTTGGATTTAGTATCTAGGCGTCCCTTGGTCTTTTTGTTGTATATAGTGGGTACCTCATAGTACAAGAATGGGCTCATGTGTCTTCCATGGTTTTGAAGGAAGTTGACCTATTTTAAATAAATGTTCTTAAGTACAGTAGCAAACACTGTGTTAAGCTTATACTAATTGATTAACTACCTTATAAGCCAAATGTATTTTCTTACAAATATAAACTTAAAGAATGTGTCACTTCGGCTGGGAAGGTGGCTCAGTGGTAGAGTGCTTGCCTTACATGCCTGAGGCCCTGGGTTCGATTCCTCAGCACCACATAAGCAGAAAAAAGCCAGAAGTGGCATTGTGACTCAAGCAGTAGGGCGCCAGCCTTGAGCTGAAGAGCTGAGGGACAGCGCCCAGATCGACCAAAAAAAAAAATGTCACTTTCCAGAGCCTCAGATGTGAGCTTACACTTGATTTTTGGTTTTTTGAGGGAAAAAAAATTGCCTTTTAGAAATGGCTTCTCACCCAGACAGTACTTATACCTCTGATCTCTTAAGGAGGATACAGCAGAAGGATAGTGAGTCCCAGGCCTGCCTGAGCTAGCTAGCCAGAAAGACTGGTTATTCTCTCTCTCTCTCTCTCTCTCTCTCTCTCTCACACACACACACACACACACACAACTGGGGGCAGGAAGAGGGCCAAATCAGCTATTACATTTGTAAATTTTATGTAGAGGTTGGGGAGAAATCATTTCAAGTTGGGAGACAGAGGTTGTGATGTCGAGTTATTAGGATGAGTATGTGCCACAGAGTCTGATATACCTTTATGACCAGGCTCATGTTTTTCCATGTCATTGTCATAAAGAGCCAAGTGTGCAATTATGTGTGCCAAGTCACTTTATAAATTCTCTTTAGTGGTCTTCGCGGAACATTAAATGAAAATATATTTAGCATAGTATTTTCAGGCTTAAGGTATCAAAGAAATTTGTACTAAGATTTTTGTGAGGCTATGTAGAGATTCACATTTAAATCAGTTTTAAAACAGCTTTTGCTGGGCGCCAGTGGCTCATGCCAGTAATCCTTACTACTTAGGAAGCTGAGATCTAATGATTGCAGTTTGAAGCCAGCCTGGTTAGGAAAGCATCAGCCACCTAAAAACAAAGAGCTGTGGCTCAAAATGGTAGTGTTAGCCTTGAGCACAAAAGGCTCAGGGACAGCACCCAGGCCCTGAGTTCAAGCCCCGTAACCAACCAAAGGAAAAAATGTTCACAAATACTACACAGTTTTAACCCAGGGCATATCAAAAGAATTCTGTGAATGATGCCTTTTACTAGGATGCTGGAGGATTGGAGAAATTTTTTATAAGCAAATTTGCCCCCCAAAGATAGAGTATTCAAAGTAATATTCTCCATATGACCTTAAGAAATTAATCATAACTGGAAATTGCAGACACTGCTAGATTATAGCATAGCTTGGAAACTCATTTAATATTTTCTTCAGCACATTTAACATTCCAAATCAAAGAAATGTCTTTTCTCATTTTCTTCAAATGGTAAATGTCAAATCATTCTATAAATCTTACCCTAAAGCTTTTTAAAATTGGTTGGGACCTACCATGAGAAACTGGTTATTACTCTTTATTAGTATGACCCTAAGGCATATTTGAAGAGCTGCTTCTGCCATTTCCAGCCTTACTGGCAAAGTTAGTCTAATTTGCCTTCAACATGAAGAGAGGAAGTGGACCTAGTCGAGCCATTTCAGGGAGCCTTGGGTGTAGTTAAACCTCTTAGTTTCTGAGGGGTACTCAGGGAGATGTGAGACAATCAGAATTGTAGAGCTTTGGTTAGTTTGGAAATAAAAAGATTTACAGGTACTGCTATGTTAGTCATAATTGCTTGGAGACCCACCCTAAAAAGCACCATGAATATAGCATGCACCTTATGCCTACAAGAGTATACACAATCTAGTGGCGACTTTTAAGTTGTATTTTAGAGCACTACCATGAACCAGGTTCCAAGATTCAGCCTTTCTAAGCCTTTGTGGAGTCATACGGTTAAGAATGCAATGGATCTAGAACATGATGGGGATCTGTGTGAGTCCCCCCTAAAAAAAGCCCAACCAGTGCTCTACAGTGCGTTGCTCTTGGCACCAGTCTTACCTAGCCTGGACTTGGAGACACGACAATTTCAACTACTAGCTGCATTTAGCCATGTTTATTGAGAAACAAAGAGGACGGCCTCACAGCAGGATGGGGCAGCTGGGCTGGGGGTGGGGGGGGCATCTTGTCTTCAGGCAGGGTTGCCCCAGCCTCGGCTCAACCGAAGTATGTCAGGGCCCCCTGGGGAGGAGAAAAAAGCCAAGCTTGAGTGTACCCCTGCCACCAAGAACTGGCAACCACCAGGCCCTAGGCACCTGAGGTTACGCGGAAAGTCATGGCTGCTGGCACTGGGGAGAGAGATGGAGCAGGGGATTGGGGATGGGTGCTGGGACTGGGTACCCTGGCCTTGTAGTGGCCTCCCATGGGAGCTTAACTGTAGACACACCATCACCACCACGCATGTGCACACACTGTTCAGTCAAACCAGTTCACATGTAAGGTAACTGCCCCCAGGACTCCGCTGATGTGGGACTGGGGACCGGGATGACACTTGGAAGGACTTTGGGGGTAGCTGGGGGACGGTGCCCATGCAAGGAGGGGTACCCAGGATGCCTGTGTTACCAGCAGTGTCTTCACAGCTCCTACAGCCTCGGGGCCCAGCTCAGTGACACACTTTCTAGAACCCTCTATGAGGTGCTCTACCGGGATGCCCACGCTGGCCAGGATCATCTTGAGGAGGGTGTAGGAGCTGAGAGGGAGGCTGGGCACCGCCGCTTGCACTGCAGACGGAGCCAGGGCAGCCACAGGTTCAGCCACAGGCTTCACCACCGAGTCCACGAAGAAAGCGTCACCTGCCAGCACAAGCAGACAAGCTCCCACCCGGGCCGCTATCCTGAGGAGCCTCCCGGATCACACACCCACTCCCTCTCCAATGGCTGCCCTGTGCCACCGGGCACTCACCCAGCAGGGCCATGCAGAGCACCAGGAAGACGGCGACAAGCTTCATGGCAAATGCTTCCCCTGCTTCTCAGAGCCTGGTCCTGGGACCTGGTCCCCCCGCGGGCTTCATATACCTCAGGCTGAAGCCTCGCCCCATCTTCCTGACAAATGCATTGTTTGCTCAGCTAATAGGGAGAGGCCTGGCCACATGCTCACTCTGACCCTGTGGGTCCTGAGAAGTTTGTTACACCCCTCCCCGCCCCCTCCATTTTGCCTGGATCTTGGCTATTTTTCCTCTTGGCAGTGGTCCTGGGCGGAAGTGCTGAGTCCTTGTCCTGAGACCAGGAACCGAGGCTTGTCTGTGCTTTTGTCCCCAAGAGACACACCCCGAAGTGCACCTGGACTTTGTGATCGCACCCCACCTTGCCTAAGGCTAGAACACAAGTTCTGGTGGGAACCGTCCCCCCACAGTGAGGAGAGGAGAGGGGCTTTGCCAACTCTTGTCTCTCTCCTCCAGCAGCCCTGCAAAGTGAACAGATTGCATGGAGCTCAGGAGAGCTGAACTTGGGCCCGCCTTCCAGCATGCCAGCTGAGATACTGGAGAAAAACTGCCTGCAGAGAAACGCAGGAGCGACTCACAACCCCAGTGAGCCAAGAGGCAATCTTGATGAGAGTTCAGCCATCTCTGTCCCCACGGCTCCTGGTGCCCTGGTTTTAGTTTTGTGGCCTCCTTGCATCCTTTCCTGGCATTCTTTCTCATTAAAACAGCCTTCGGCCTTGGTAGATTGTTGCATACCCACCTTATATAACAAAAAACACCTTCCTTGAACCTGAGTATAGCTCAATGATAGCAAAAACAAGCCTAGAATTCTGGCCTAGAATAAACAAGACTTGGGTTTGATTCCTGGTACTGAAAAAAAAAAAAAAAACCAACAGAAACCATAGAAACAACGCAAGCCTTCGCTGATCTTCAAGGTAGTTTGCATGGTTCAGGCCTTAGCTTCCTATCTGCTTACAGTGTCGTCACAGGTCTACAGGACTTGCTCCCAAGATTTTGAATTCCCAAAATACATCCTGACATTAAAGTCATCGTGTCCCTGAGAAGACCAAGAGACTTGTCCCAATCTCCTAAGTAGTAACAGAGCCCAAGTCTTCTCATAAAGGACCTACCCTTCCACCCACACTGGCTCTCCAAATGATCCCATCCACAGAGATAACAGCGGGTGTGTTTGCAATCACCCTGCATGGTAGAGCCAGGGGATGATGTCTTGATATATATATTTTTTTCTTGAGGTTGCTGAAACCAATCAATACCTACGTGATGGCTGAAAACCACTTACCTTTATTTGGTTAGAGTTCTGCAAGCCAGAATTCGACATTGGGATGAAAACAAGATACTGACAGACCTGAGCTTTCTGTAGAAACTCTGTGGGGAAAAATAAAATCCATCCTCAGCCTCTTCCAGCTCCTGGTGGCTGCAGGCATTCCTTGGCTTGTGGCCACATCTCTCCAATCTCTGCTTCAAGCTCGTTTATTTTGGTCAGTCATGGAGCTTAAAGCCCAGGGCCCGGGCCCTGTCCCCGAGTTTTTTTCTCTCAAGGCTAGTGTTTTACCAACTCTGAGCCACAGCTGACTCTTTGAATCAGGGCTATTCCCACCAGAACATCGAAAAGAAGGCTGGGCAACAGCAAAATCAATGTTGTAAGTATAGTTGGTTTTCTGATGATTAACCAGAGATAAGAGTCTCACAGAGTTTTCCTGCCTAGGCTAGCTTTGAACTGTGATTGCTCAGAACTCAGCCTCCTGAGTACCTAGGATTATAGGTGTGAGCCACTGGCACCTGGCTGGCTTCAAGCTCTTCTATATAGATTTCATCTCACTGCCTTCCTCTTAAAGTTGCCTGAGCTTGCATTTACAGTCCACCTGGACCATCCAGGAGGATCTCCTCAGAAGGATGAACTTAATCACAGCCACATAAAGGAACACTAATAGGCTCCATCAATCAGCCAATGGCAGTGTCTCTGCCTGCACCTCCATTTGGATCATGGCTAGTGATTTCATCTGTCCAGGCGGTGTTTCTCAGTGTTATCCCAGGTAGCAAGGCCAGCAGAACTCAAGAGGCCCAGGCCCAGCTCAGCACAGAACTTGCCTTTCTCCTTGGAGACTCACAAACTAGCCTCATTCTTTGAAAAGTTCCCCTAGGGTATGGCCAAACTCCCATTTCCCATCCCAGTTCCCAGCCTGGGTTAAGGGCCAGCACACTCTCCCCCTGCCACCCCTCCCTTCCCAGTTACCTTACATCGTATCTGCTGACCTAGGGCTCAAAGCATGGCTGCTATAAACTCATGGAGTTGGAACTTCAACACGGGGTGCCCACGCAGCAGCCCTCCAATGTCCTGAGGTTCTAGGTGATTCCTTTCTCTTTTCTCTTGGTCAACCAGCATCTCCGTCTCTGAGCTCTGCCATCTTGGAACTCTTTCTGATACCAGTGACATAAATGATTAAGCAAACTGAGGTAGGTGGGTGTGAACCCCAATTCCATCTCTTCGTGAGGAGCAAGGAAGGCCCGTTTTCTTAGGCCTTCACACCAGGCATCTGCTGGCTAGCCTGCGAGTTGACTGGAGGGTATGGACAGGGGTAGGCAGTTCCTCAATGGAGACCTTTGGCTTTTTCTACCAGAACACACCATCTTGTACTTCACTGTGGTCAAGTTAGTCTGGGGGCTCCTTAGACCTCTAGGGTGTAGTGACTCAGCTACAGGGTGTGTCTGTGGTAGTGTTTGTTCACACACCACCCCTTCTCTCACTAGAGCTGTAGGCCTTGGGGCTTCCTCATTCCTTCAGAGCTCCTTTCCCGGAAGCAAGTGGGGATGAATGGATGACCCTGAGTAGGGGTCAGCCAGCACCTGCTGCCTTCCCACAGTACTGGACTCCTGGTAGACCCTTGTCCCCAACCAATACAGACAGCCACCCCTGTCCTTTCTAGGGAAGTCTTCCTGGTTCAGATGCCCTATTCTAGCCAAGAGATTGATGCTGTCCTTTCTCCAGCTTCAGTGTTCATGACAAGGACAAGGAGGCAGTATCACAGGGTCTCTTGGGTGTCAAGAATCTCTCTCTCTCTGTTAGTCGTGGGGCTTGAGCTCTGGGCCTGGGCACTGTCCCTCAGTTCTTCAGCTCAAGGCAAGTGCTTTACCACTTGAGCCACAACACCACTTCCGGTTTTCTGGTGGTTTATTGGAGATCAGAGTCTCATGGACTTCCCTGCCTGGGCTGGCTTTGAACTGCAGTCCTCAGATCTCAGCCTCCTGAGTACCTAGGATGACAGGCATGAGCCTCAAGAAGCTCTTGCAGCAGGACCCTGCACTTTCTCCAGCCTCAGCACAAGTAGCAGGCTGGTGACCAGTGAGGGACTTCAGGCCATGGGGCAGGCCCAGAGTGGGGGTGCTGTGAATCTCTCCCAGATGCCCTGGCTTCCCTGGCTGGCACATAGAGGTGGGGTGCTTTGTTCAGGGGGTCACTATGGATCTTTGCCATCCCTCAGCCTCCTTCCTCCTTCCTCATAGCTTGGCCATCTCAGCCCTGGCATGCTAGGCAGTGTCACCAGTGTATTGTGTCCCCTCTGCCAGTGTCTTTATCTCAGTCAATATTGATCTGGCTTTTTCAAGTACTTCCTTTTTGCCCTTTCCCCATCCAGGGACCTCCTCTCTACCGGGCCCTGCAGTAGAGAGGGTGGAAAGGTGCCATCAGCCAGGCTTCTCCCGTGTGGGCTGAGGGTCTTGGTGAACATGATAGGAAAGCTGAAGCAATGGCTGAAATTCAAAGGATGCGTTCTGCCTTCGGCCAAAACGTGCCCCAGATTCAAATAACAGCGTCACCACACCCTTGCTCTTCTCGGCTATTGTTTTACAGAAGTGTCCTCTGTGGATGATGAGCCAGCAATGCCAAACCAGAATGCCAACTCAGTCTCAGGGGTAGAAGCCCTGCTTTTGTTCCCAGAAGGCTTCCGTGGGTCCCCAGGGCTCTAAGAGGGACCATGGCAGCAGTGGCCAAAGAAACATGGAGTTGATTTTTACCTATTTCTGCCTGGGCATAAATAGTCCTTTCATATTCAGACTTAGATTTATTGTAGAAGCAAACACCACAAAACAAACCCCACCTCAGCTGACTCTTTGAATCAGGGCTGTTCCCACCAGAACATCGAAAAGAAGGCTGGGCAACAGCAAAATCCATGTTGTAAGTATAGAGCAGAACCCCAAAGGGGTTGGGAAGGCCCAGAAGGTGCTGTATGCGATCCAGGGCAGGGGAATCTCTGGCTCTTGCCTTTTGCTAGCCTCCTGGACCAGCCTGTATAGCTAGGATGGTTGGGTCCAGTTGGTCCACGTGACAGGGCTAGTGGCCATCCCTGAGTTAGTGGGCCAGCCTGCTGAGGACACAACCAGACCGACAAGACACACATCCCATGAGGGTGACAGAAAGCCCTGCAAAGATTGTAAGCAGGGCCCAGGCGCCCTCTGCTGTCCCCATTGGGGAATGGCAGCTGATCGGAGGACAGAAATTCACTCAGGGAACACCTCTCCTTGTTGTTTCCTTTGGTTACTCTCCCATTGGACTAGGAGGGAGATTAGATCAAAAATGTACAATTGTAGCTGGGTGCTGGTGGCTCATGTACGTCTGTAATCCTAGCTACTCAGGAGGCTGAGATCTGAGGACTGCAGTGTGAAGCCCGCTGGGGCAGGATAGTCCGTGAGACTCATCCACAAGTAACCATCAAGGAAACCAGAAGCGGTGCTGTGGCTCAAAGTGGTAGAGCACTAGCCTTGAGTGCAAAAGTTCAGGAACAGCACCCACACCCTGAGTTCAAGCCCCATGACAGACAAGAAAAAAAAACCCCACCCCCAAACAAATACAGTTGTCACTCCATTTACCATCCACTTGCTGTAACTCAAAAGACTGGCATCAAATTTATTATTATCTTCTGTTAAATATTTTAAACCTTTTCAGAGAACATTGTCTACAAAGGCATAGTAAGTTTTCTTCCCCAGTACATTTTTTTTTTGGGGGGTACAGT